CGCCTTACAGTAATGAGCTGATGAATTGTCCTCTGTTGCATTAATCATTAGTTTAGTTCTATATTTTGCAGAAAAATTCCAGTCCTCAGTCATCACATCCTCTCATCAGTTTCACACTTTTTCCTCAGGAGGGCCGCGGGCTGGTCCGTGCACAGCACCCGGGCAGCGCCAGGATTGAAGAGTTTCTCAGCCAGCTGGAAGTCTTGTGGGAAGAACTGCGAAGGCGGCACCAGAGGAACGCTCTGTTTCTGCAGACCTCCGAACAGCTTGGTTTTAGAGTAAGATGCATAAACACTTTCTCCAGAGTCACTCAGCATTAGTCATAATGAGGCAATTACTTTACATTTAAATTTGCTGGGCAGTTTAATGGCGATGTCGAGTGGGTGGTCTCATTGTGAACACTTTATTGGCCCAAAGACAACAGGCTCCGTGCATGGTGAAAGCAGATGGACTTTCAGCTCCAACAACAGGCGCTAACAGAAGGGCTACTTTCATATAATTTGATTAGGGACAAGCACGGTTAAAGTTTTACCGTCCTCTGGGGGCAGTAGGACAGGACATATTTTACAGCATAAAACCTTAATCCTAAAGCTATTTTTGAAATATATATGTACATATGTAACATATATGTAATAAATAATATAAGAAAACATTCTGGCCTAGCTCAAGTTATTCATGCTGTTTAAAGTCCATGTAATTTCTAAGAGTCAGTAAGATAGGACAGCTTCTTTGGCCTATTAATTTTGATTGTGATGAGCAGTCATCTTTGTTTTTGCTCGTTAAAAATCATAAATTCTAACAAAACTGCTTTTTTCTATAACAGAGACAGTGAAATGAATCAATAAACAAATAAATAATAAATACACAAATAAAGGCACAAATAAAGAAAAAGATTATTTACTTTGCTGCCATCATTGCCTCCCGGCTAAAGCTCCACGTACCACACTTTAGGAGCCAATGAATCAGATGAATGAATGCACACCTTACACACTATTTGTTCTGTAGTGTAGCAGTTATCATTGAAGACTGTGTGGGTTGCAGAGACTCACACTTTAAATTTCCTAACTGTAGTACAAATAAGTGATTTCTTTAAGCCTTTTGTATCAGAGAACGTTGAAAAGGCTGAAGAGCCAGTCAGATTAACGATGTAAGTGTTAACAGTAAAGACGCTGATACAAACCATGTGAGAACTGTTTACATCTATCAGTCGTCTACATCTGATTGGTCAGCACGTCATTTACTGCTGTTTCTACGTGCACTAAACACCTCACATTACACAGCAGCCAAATGTTTACATTGCTTCCTGCTTGTCTGTTAATCACCGTACAGGTTGTAAAAGTGCTCCAGGGCCTTGGCAGCCTGGAAGCGTGGCTGGAATCCGTGGAGCTCTCCATGAAGGAATCCGTACTCGCCAGCGACCCTGAAACAATGAGCGTGGCTCAGAGAGGGAACTGTATGCTGGAGGAGGAGGTAGCAGAACGCAGCCTGGAGCTCAGTGCTCTCAGGGAGGAGGTGGACCAACTCCACGTTCACAGTCACCCACACACGCAGTGGCTGCTAGCACGCATGGAAGAGGTGGAAAAAAAGTGAGTTTTCATGGAAGGTACTGGGATAAGTGTTTAGATGTGTCCCCGCAAACCGTGGGAGTTTTGCTGCGCACTGTGGTCAGGAAATAATGTAATAATTTGTCAGTGTTTCCGAGAGGTCAGGTTTGGGCTTGGCATGTCTGCTACTCAACGTGGAAGAACTTATTCAGTGAACTCCCAGACATGGAGTTAAACCTCTATAAACCACACATTTATATGTCCATAGATCTTATGAGCTACTTTTACTACTCCAGTCTGTCCGAATATTCTCCCCGTGCCCATTTGTGGCACCTTTATTTATTTGTGAATCATGGAACATTAACCACAGCTCTGACAGGTACTTCACCTACAGCCTGCCAGTGTGCCTCTTGTCTTGGTTGACCCGAAAATTCTGGGTCAAAACTGTAGATTATCACTATGTTAGTGGTGTCAAACACAACTCCAGACTCTGTTAGGAACACGTTGCTATAAAATGGGTTCAGTCTAAGTGTTACCAACGCAGTGTAGTGTAATATGTGGCCTGGATGGGCCATTAATGCAGGTAGGAGCTCTCTTTCTTGAAAAAGAAAATATCCTTTCTAACTTCACCGTCTCAAAAATAAACTCTGCACAGATACAGTATCCTCATGCCCTGGAACACAGAGCCCATTTATGTGACTAAAGATACACAGTATGATTACATAAACAGCGCTCCTTCACGGTGACCTGTACTCCGTGTGCTGCTCCGCAGGCTCTGTAATGTGGTTTTATTGAAGGGTGCAAGGATTTGTAAGTGGATGTGAATACCAGACAAGGTGTAGCTTCTCATATAAACATTCCAGCTGTTGTGTGTTTTCTTAAGGTACCATAGTGTAAAAAGTGCCATGACCCAGCCGAGCTCCAAGCTGCAGGATGCCAGAATGCTGACGGAATTCCTGGAGCGTGTGGAGCTGGAGGAGAGTCACGGTGTCAGCCAGTTTAACCTGGGCCAGGTGAGAAATATCTCAATAGACAAGGAATTTAGGAATTTATCTTGTACATGTATGAAATATAAAAATATTTTATATTACATAATAAATGTGAATAATGTAATAATTAGGCATCTAACAGGGCCAAAATGTGTCTGTGTTTTTTTGGTTATTATGACTAAATTAATCCCACAGTTAAAAATATATATTAGCTATAACCCAAGTTTGACCTAACATCAGCTGGAATTGGCTGCATGTGATTTTTGGTAATTAAATAGCGCTAATGGTTTTACCTGGCCCAGACAGTGAGCTTATAGTAGCCCACATAATAATAAAATAAAATAATATAGCAAATGTGGTCTAAATATCTGTTAGCAAATGCAGGAGAACGTGGCAGCACTGTGGCCAACTCTTAGTCCAGATCTGGTAAACAGGACAAAACCTTTCATGTGGCTTCACTCTGGGCCAAATTGACCAAATAAAGTCCTAATTTACCAAAAATAGGCTGGATCTGAAATAAGTGAATGTTAAATATTTGAAGTTCATCATTGCAAAAACAAAAATTTAAATAGATTTTTCAATATGATATATAATTTGTCTGTCTTTCTGAACAGCCACTCCACAGTGAGGTTTCTTCAGCTCTGTCCATGAAGGAGCGTCAGAGCAGCAGCGTCGTTGTAGGTGAGGCCTTGATTCATAGCATTGGAGACACTGTGGAGGAATGCAAAGAGATTCTCAATGACAGAGTTGGAGAAAGAGGTCGATCACCGAGCCATGATCAGGGAATACAAGAGCTGCTGCGCAAGGTGAGGAGATGAGAACCCAATACGCCAAGAGAACATGTGCACCAATATGGAGGCTCCACTTGTTCAAACGATTGGTTTTATGTACCCTAAGTTACATGATTGTGTTTTTTCTCAATGATGAGGAATTGTTTTAAAATAACCTCACTTTGTTACAAAACAGCTGCACAAACAAATTAAGCAACATCTGGTTCCCTTTTTTCTGTGGCTTTGTATTTTTACAGCCATAGACCCCAGACGGGCCACCACTCCCTTTTCACATTATTATTTTTATGTTAATTTGATTTATCTCTGATTCTAAAGCAAAACTCTTAAAAGCAGCACACGTGTCAGAACAGACCCTACGCACATGTCCAGAAGGCGTTGTGGCCGTCATCGAAGAAACAAAGAATGAAAGGCGACTTTAATGACACCCACAAACGCTCATGACTCTGTGTCTTGCCAGCATGCCAGTCTTGCAGTACGTGTGGAAGAGTGCCTGTGCTACAGCAAGGACCTGGGTCTGGACATCCTGGAGAAGGAGACAGACTTGGCCATCCAGTGTGAGCCGGAGCGCTGCGGCCTGGAGGCTCTGCAGGAGAAGCAGGACCACCTGGAGGTGAGAGTGAGAGACGCTGGCACGTGATGTAATGATGGTGTAAACATTTCAAATGATTCACTGGGGCTAATACAAGCCAGTATTCCACTGCGTTGAGGGGGGAAGTTTTGATCTGTGTGTGAAGATTAGTCCGCTCTTTCTCTCTTTTTCTCTCTCTCTCTTTCACTCTTTTTTTTTCTCCAACACATTGTTCCACAGTCTGTTTCCTGTTGTGCCAGATTCTCTCACATCTGAAAAAAGGCCAGCCCACCCCACGTTAGGCTGCGTTTAATTTGTTATATAAACTGCACCATGCAGTCACACACACACACACACACGGAGCATGTAAAAGTTTATTATTCACACAGTACATTTATTTATGCTCGCATGAGTCACAAATCTGTTTTGCTCTCAAAATGTGTGTGTGTGTAAAATTGGGAGGGGGAGTTGGGTTCTTTTCGGGCAGCTTTATGTTTGTCACACACACATACATAAATGCAGATACACACACACACACACACACACACCACAGCTGTCTGGACTTGATACCACAGAAGAACAGAAATGACCTAATCTGCCGCTCTGAAATAACTGTGCCGTCAGCACTCAGGCATTCACAACACACTGTGTTTGAGGCTTTATGTATCTGAGAAATGTTATGAAGGATGACTCCCATAGAAACCCCAACGTTATTAATTACTGCCTCATCAAAAAGAGGAAAAAAAGATTGTCGGCCCGCTGTGATGTGACAGGCCACATGGAGACCATATGGGTTCCCAGCTGAATAATGTGTTGAAGCTATGGGGATGAGGTCATCCTCATACACAGATACATTTGGTCCGGGCTCTTTGAGTGATACCAGGTTTGATGAGAGATGATGGATTTTTTTCACCTTGATTCTCTACAGATTGACTATGAAGTCATCAGGGAGGAGGTGAAGGAGATGAAGAACCTGGCTTCCCGCTTGGAGGAGCTGTGCCCGGAGAGAACGCACACACTCAGGGCCAAGATCCAGGCTACGCTGCTGGCCTGGA